AAGTTCTGTATCTACACTATTCCCTCTTTTTACTTTCCAGTTGACTTCATTATACATAGATATGCTGGTTCTCTATTTTCAGTCTTTTAGGTTTGTTTTACTTTAAATACTTCTATATCTGGATTGATTCCTGAGTGGTGTTGTCATGTATGATAATCTCAGGTTGTTGTCTGCTATTGTTAGGTCTCAGTTCAAAGTCATTTTTATCATGTGTTAGAGTCTAATCTCTTTTTCCATGGAAACGCATTTCCGGAACTAAAAGAGAATCAGCATATGATCACTACATGATGAATTTTGATTTGAGTAAAGCATCTGTGATGATTATGAATAAAGCAAAGTCATTTTGAATTGGAGAAACAAGACTGTTCTCCTACTTACAGGAATAGATTCATTAGGTTATAAAAAGCCTATTCATGAACTGTGGATAATTCTCATTCCACAAAGGACATGATAGAGGGCATACTTCATGTCCTTGTTGCGTAGGCTGTAGATGATGGGGTTTAAGACTGGTGTCACTACGGAGTATATCAGTGTGATGATTTTCTGCATGGCAACTGAATTGCCAGATGTGGGAGTCACATACATCACCATTATGGTTCCATAGAACAGAGACACCACCATCAGGTGGGATCCACAGGTAGAGAAGGCCTTTTGCCGACCAGATGAAGAAGGGACTTGAAGAACAGCTCTGAGCACCAGGGTATAAGACCCAAGAATGTAGAAAACAGTCAGAATGATAAAAAGAGAACTCACAGAGTGGAATATATGCTCTATGATGGGTTTAGGGCCACAGGACAGAGCCATTAGTGGGTCCACATCACACAAGAAGTGATCAATGATGTTAGGACCACAGAAAGGTAGTTGGGAAATGAAAAAAATGGGAATCAAATGTCCAAGGAAACCAATGAGCCAACAAAGACACACCAGCATGCCACACAACCTCCTAGTCATGATGGAAGGATAGTGCAGTGGGCGGCAGATGGCCAGGTATCTGTCGTAAGCCATGATACAGAGGAAGAAGCATTCAGTTGTGCCCAGGGAAAAGAAGAAGTAGAATTGAGTGAAACAGCCCGAGAAGGAAATGGTCTTAGTTTTGGAAAGAAAATTAACCAGCATGTTGGGAACGGTGCAGGTCACATACCAGATCTCTAGGAAAGAGAAATTAGCCAGAAGTATGTACATAGGTGTATGAAGTCGTGGTTCCCATCTCACTGCACAAATGATGGCCATATTCCCAGTCAGAGTCAGGATGTAGAGCAACAAAACCATCGAGAAAAAGAGGATCTGCATTTTCCAGGGACCAGGAAAGCCCAGTAGTACAAACTGGGTTACTGTAGATATCCCTGACTTATTCATCGTTTCCAGACTGTGGAGAGAAGACAGATAATGACAATTGACTTTGCTACTGAAGCAGTCTTAAGCTTTCCATGGGACAGAGAGTTATATCCATGTAAGAAGAAAAAAAAAATATATAGATATTCTAGAAAAATTTTGATCAAATCCTTTACTGTTCTGAATGAGTCTACTGGCTCTTATTCTTTATAAATATACACTTCTAGGTTACTTGAACTCTCTGTGGCACTGGACAATAGTTAAATTTCATCTTCTTATGATTTTAAGAAATCTTAAATTAGATTTCTTTTTGTCTTTTACCTATTATTTTTTCCAGTGAAAGCTGTTCAGATGCAATAACTGCATAGTGTTATTAACAACAAAAGGTGATACATACAATATCATTAAATCTAATGGAATTGAATCTGAGACTTCTTAAAAAGATATGAATGACTTGTACTTTTATATTATTATTATTTTTTTTTCCTTGGAGTTATTTCCATTATGAGAATTTATTTTCTATCTAGTTTTGTTTTTTAGTGATACCAGAAAAAATCCATAAGAATATGAAAAGTACATATGTGCATCTGCATATTTTAAAATGTAAAGACATTTAAATTGTACTAAATTAATTTACAAGCTGGCATTTAATCCTTTGTTTTTAGCAAAGAAAAATGTCACTATTACTCATTTCCCAAAGACTGATTATTAATTTCTCATCCTTCATATACATTTAAAAAGAAAAATTATCAAAGATAAATATAACCTATGAGATGCAGTGAAAAGAAATTAACACCCACTAAGAGATTCTTTTTTAAAGCTCTTCCTACTATTGCTTCCATAAATTTCACTTCAAATGTATAATTTGGAGGATTTTATTTTAATCAATTTTTTAAAGTCCCAAAAGAACAGAATACAAGTGAATTAAAGATGTTATTTCAAAGCAATAGTAGTCATCTACATTACAAAATTTGCCCTTGTATCCTTGATTATCAAAGACAATTTCCCTCTTTTTTTTTTAGCTTTTAATATAGTTTGGGTGAAAGTTTACAGAGCTGATTAGTTTTTCTTTCAGCAATTTATAGACATTTTGTTTTGTGGTGTTGCGTGCAGTTCCCTCTGTATAACATCACTCTTCCCACTGAGTTTTTCATTTCCATTTGTCTCTCCCCTTCCTGCCTTTTGAACTTTTGATTTTGGCAAATGTCCTTTGGTCTTGTGTAGTTGATTGGTCTGAGAAGTATGTTCCTCCCTGGTGCTGTTAGTTACTTTGTAGGCTAGTCTATATTCTGAAAAGTTGAGCCCTAGAGGTGGGTCCAGTTCCAGGCTTAAAGAGTGTCTAAGGGTCCTGGTGTGGTGCTGTGGGTTAATGTACTGGACTGCAAAGTCAGTTTGAACCACAAGGTGGGTGGTTCAAACCCACCACTTGCTCCTGGGAAACCCTATACAAGGTCGCTATAGGTTGGAACAGACTCAACGGCACTTAACAATAACAACAAGGGTCCGTCTTGGGGTTGTACCAGTTTCTATCAGATCACTGATGATGTCAATGAGGTAGCATCTCTCCCTAGCAATAATAACATGATTTTTATGATCTTACATTTTGTTCTAAGGAGCTCTGGTAGCGTAGTGATTACAAATTGGGCTGCGAACCGCAAGGTCAGCAGTTCGAAACTACCAGGTGTTCCGCGGGAGAAAGATGAGGCTTTGTGCTCCCGTAAAGATTTACAGCCTCAGCAACTCTGTATAGGGTCGCTATGAGTCGGAACCGACTCCACGGCACATAACAACAACAACATTTTGTTCTACATTTTATTTTTCCTTCCTTTTCTCCAGGACTTTCTATTATAAATTCCTGATCCAAGTGGTTGGTAGTGGTAACTGGGTCTTATCTAGTTCTTCTGGCCTCAGAGTGGTAGGATCTGCAGTCCATGTGATCTATGAGTCTTTTGGAGTTATTGTTTCCTTGAGTCTTTGATTTTGTCCACTTTTCTTTGCTATGGATAGGGGGAATCATCTTAGATGGCTGCTGGTTAGTTTTTGGGATCCCTGTTGCTACTCAACATGATAGAATGTAGAACATTGTCTTTGTGAACCATATTATGCTAATTGATCTGGATAGCCCCTGTGACCATGGTCCTAAATTCCCAAGCCCAGGGACTTATTCCCATAAGGTGTTTGCTTATGGCTAAGCAGTTTTCAGAACTTTCTCCCCTGTATGCGCGATTAAATCCTCGGATCTATTTTTAACACATACAAATGCTTATGTAGAAATACCATCAGTCAAATCTCTATACGTGTGGGTATATTCCCATATGCTTTTCCACATCTGTTCAGCTTGCATTTTATTCATAGATATCGTTTGTATTACTATTGTTGTAGGATGGTGTGTTTAATAGTATTTACCCTGACTGATTTTTACCCTTGTGTACCTCCCAGTGCCTTCCTTTGGCTTGGTCGTGGTGTGCTGCCTTCCCCTTATCAACGTATCTGACAAGGGACTAATCTCTAAAATGTACAGAAAATTTCAATACCTCAGTAACAAAAAGACAAACAATTCAATTAAAAAATGAGCAGAGAACATGAACAGATCAAAGAAGGCAGACAGGTTGCCAACAAACACATGAAGAAAGGTTCACAATCATTAGCCTTTAGCAAGATGAAATATCATTTCACTCCAGTAAGTATAGTAAAATTCAAAAAAGAAAAAAGAAAACAACAAATGCTGACTAGGGAATGGAAAGCAATGAACTCTCATTCACTGCTTGTGGGATTGTAGACTGATACAACCACTGTGGGAAATGGCCTGGTGCTTCCTTAAAAAGTTGGAAATAGAAATACCATATGATCCAACAATCCCACTACTATGTATATAGCCCAAAGAAATAAAGCCATTACTGAATAGATATACATACCCATGTTCATCATAGCATTATTCACAATAGTAAAAGATAGAAATAACTTAAATGCCATCAATGGAAGAATGAATAGAATAAGAATGAAGAATCCATGAAACACCTCATAATACGGATGAAACTAGAGGACATTATGCTGAATGAAATGTCAGTTACAAATGGACAAATATTGTATGGAACCAGTATGATAAAAAGTTAAGCAAAGGGTTATATACAGAAAGAAACATTTTGTAATGGTTCTCAGGGATGGGATGGGGAGGGAGGGCAAATCACTGACTAGACAGTAGACCTGTATTCACTTGAGTGAAAGACAGGATAATATGCAAGATTTCTATTGAAGAAAAAAATATAACTCAGAGAAAAGAGTACAGCAATAGCTTTAACTATTTGAATCTCCAGAAAAATATTAACATATTTGATAGATAGGGAAACTTGCCTTAAAAATAATTTTCATGGAAGTGGTTTATATTTGTGATAGATTAATTTAGTTTTCTGTAATGAACAAAGGGTTGTTGTGGTTAAGTGCTGTTGAGTCGGTTCTGACTCATAGTAACCCTGTATAGAGTATCCAAGGAATAGCTGGTAGGTTTGACCTTGTAGTTCAAAGTCCAGTGCTGATCCTACAGTGCCACACCAGGAGACCAAAGGGTAAAGTATATAAACAATAGTAGTGATGGTGGTGTGCCTGGAGTCGATTCTGACTCATAAGGCCCTCCATAGGGTTTCTAAGGCTGCAGATCTTTACGGGAGCAGAAAACCTCATCTTTCTCTCACGGAAAGGCTGGTAGTTTGCTCTGACCTTGAGGTTCAAACTGCTGACCTTGAGGTTAGCAGCCCGACATGTAACTATTATGCTACTGTTGTTGTTGTTAAGTGCCAATAAGTCGGTTCCAACCCATAGCGACCCTGTATAGGGTTTCCAAGGGTCAGCTGGTGAGCTTGAACCACCGACCTTGCAGTTCAAATGGCTTTGCAGTTTGACGCATTAACATTAACCCACAGCGCCACACCAGGTCTCCACTATGCTACTAGAGCTCCTATATAATAGTACTCACCGAAAATAATCATATTGAACAAAATCCCTTCTATTCAATGTGGTTATATGAAATGAAAGAACATTATTATGTAACTGTTGCTGTTGTTAAGTGCCATCGAGTCAGTTCTGACCCATAGCAACCCTGCATAGGGGTTCCAAGGAGCTGGTGAGCTTGAACCACTGACCTTGCAGTTTAAACTGACTTTGCAGTCCAGAGCATTAACCTATAGTGCCACACCATTAGTAATGCATAAACTCAACAACTCAACTCACTGCCATCAAGTGTCTTCCAACTCATAGGGGCCCTGTATAGGGTTTCCTAAAAAGCAGAAAGCCACATCTTTCTCTTGTGGAATGAAAGTCCAGTGCTTATTCCACAGCACCACATTAGCTCGCAATGCATAAACTATGAATCTGTATTATCTAGAAGCAACCAAAACCTTTCTTTTGGGTTGGCTACGTCTAGCAGGTTGTAGTCAAATGGATAACAAGCCAAGAAGGGATGGGAATTGAGAGATATACTCACATACAAACTTATGTATATATGTATATCCAGCTCAGTCACTCCTTGAGATGGGAGCAGACCAGGGGATGACTTTGGCTCCCTTTAGCACAGTGGTTCTAGAGGTTCATTGGACTGGGAACCACAAGGTTGTCGCTTCAAGCCCACCAGCTGCTCTTCAGGAGAAAAATGAAGGTTTCTGCTTCCATAAAGATTTATGGCCTCAGAAACCCTATACAGGGTTGCTAGGAGTTGGAACTGACTCAACGACACTTAACAACAACAGTGCACTTATTTTGGTGCCTGTGAATTCCTGGGTGATTTAAGGACTTTGAGAATTAAAAAAAAAAAAAAAATTTGGTTATTGAGCTGAAAGAGTAACCAGTATTTTTGTTACTTGAAATATTGAGCATGCTGAGTGAACAAATATGCAGGTGGATAGATGCACCTGTGTTGTATCACAGCAATAATGCCCATTAGAGAAGATGTCCCCTACACACCTTGAGGTTTTCCTAAGTCAGCCTGAAAAGAGTCCGTAGGGAGGCCACAAAGATTCTCTTCTTCACTGGATCTAATG